CGGCTATGAGCGCGTACTAATGTCACACTGTCTCACCACCCACACAACAAAATACACAATGACTTTGTTTTCCCCTATTTACATTAAAGTAAGAAAGTTTGGATTCTCAACAAACATACAAATCTAAGTCGTTTTGCTGGAAGTCATATAAGCGTGCTTGTATAAATTTGTGTCCCGAGTCCTCTTTTGCCAGCTTGGGCCTGCTTCCAAGTGGAATGCCGCCAGACCGACAGTGTGGATGGTCGCATTCAAATGAAGGAGAGGACTCGTGCATGGGAGACTGTCCAATCACCCACTCCCCGACGACAACCGACGAGCCCGTGTCACGAGAACAGCGTTAATTACATTTCTCTGTTTTTGGGGCACAGACCATGTCACTTGAGCTGACGGATCGGGGTCACGGGGTCACATGGCTCGTCGCATCACTTAGACAAGTGGTTCTCAAATGGGGGTCAACGGACACTTTTGGGGTCCGCGAAAGCATTCTAGTGGTTTACAAGCCCCGCATCATCAGTCGAGCCCGGCAATAAAAGTTGTATTTTTTTTATATTGAGAAGAAACGTTATAATTTTCCGGTGAGTTTTCTCGTGTGTATGTCAATGAGAGAAGTCAACTTTACACTAACCCTCAGTTTAATCCATTTATTAATTAATTATGAGAATTAACTTATTACTTTCCTTTCCCCTCACCTCAAACGGTGACATCTATCATATCCGCCGACCCACGAGTGATCCGCAAAACATAAATACTTGAGAACCACTAACTTGGACTAAACGCGGCTGGCTCTCAAGTATTGGGTGTTTCCAAACATATTTTGTGCCATAGTGTTTTTTTTAGGGTGTCGAACCGGAACCGAACCGAACCGAAAACCGGAACCGAACCGGCATTTTTTTCCGGAACTGAACCCGAACCCGAACCGTTATATTGTTATCGCGATGAACTCGAACCGGAACTGAACCGGAAAAAAAATAACGGTTACCGGCTCATGTCAAAACGGTTCGGCCACGCGCTGTTGACCATGAATGTGCTATCAATGCCATTTGTTTTTTAAGTGCCGTCAACTGACACACACCTCGCTTACATATTTTTCTTCTCCACTCGGTCTTAGGAATATAAACGCTGCATCCATGAATCTTGACATAGGAACCAGTATTGCGCTGGTCGCGGCTTGCACGAAAGAAAGAGAATTAAAGGCTGCGCAAAAAAAAAAAAAAAAAAAATCGCGTCACGGGATTTCTTTTTCCTACAATCTCGTAAATCCTAAATGCTGCTGTGTGCTCATTTCATAACACGTTTCTAGAACGCGCGAGTTCTTGAAGCTTGCTTCCATCGGAATGAGAAAATCAAAGGCTGTGGAGTTTGATAATAATGCATCCGGTTTCGTATAGGCACTTAGAAGCTAACATATTTGTGAGACAGCGAACTCTTCTATTTTGATATGTATCCTATTACGTCCTTCTAGCGTTGCGTTCGGTGAAGTGTTTTTCATATTCCGTATCTTGTTTAATAAAAACTTCCTTAAGGGTCTAATTTGAGTTACTGAAGGCTAGTTCAAATAAAGAAAGCTGTATTTTCTTCCCACTGTTCCTTCAATTGCTTACACGCCGATTTGGCGGGATAGTTAGCGAGTTCTACTTGTAAGTGGGTTTGTAAGGAGGTCGCGGATTTTACAGCTACTGCGTCGGACCCAATTAGATGAAGTCCGAATGCGTAAACGTCGGTGAGGTAACCTTTGAGTGCACATAAAGAAACCATTCCTGGTAGAAATCCCTGAGCCTTACACTACGATGTATCCCGTTTCGTATGTGCTGATTTCAGATGTTTTATTTGTAATTTATTTTAATGTTGCAATTTGTCATTTATAATTTCCGAACCGGTTCGCGAACCGGTTCAGCGCCCCGAACGGGTTCGCGGATCGAATTAATCGAACCGGAACTGAACCGGAACAAAATAAATTTACCTGAACCTGAACCGTAACCGAACCCGTATTTTTTTCGGTTCGACACACTGGTTTTTTTTAATAAAGTTTTACCTAGATAGCCAGGAAACTCGAACTTTTGTCTGTCTATGATGTTCTAAAATGTTAAAAAGTATAAAAATTGTTGAGAGAGAATATAAATATCTCCCAACGATATGTCTTCCCTATCTTAAATTCGTGAATAAGAAATGAGATAGTAGCAGCCCGTCTCATGCATGCTCATTTATTTTGGAGAGTGGACATCAGTCTTCGCCGAATTTCGTGGGTATCCTGGTGGCAAAAAGCATTCCATCAGGTTGCCGCCGCATGTCAAACCATCCCTGGCCAGCTCTACCGCGGGTTGGTCAAGTGTAATAGGCCTCGTGAGCGGTGCACCGCCCCTGACAAAAGGCCGGCACAGAAGAATGCGCGGGGAACGTGTGGGTTGCGGAGCGGGGTGGCGGTAGTCAGTAAACGACTACGTGTTGATAAACCAATGGATTGGGTCATTCTTCAAGGCTGGTAGCAGAAACGAAAACGCAACAAAGTTCGACCCACCAGGTGTAAAGTTAAATGCGGCATCCTGTCTAGGGTCACTTACTGCTCTCAAGACACAGTCAGGCTGTTGAAGCAAGTACAATGCCAATGTATTTTCTGGAGTTTATTGAGAGGGGGTATTATATATAGAACACAAAATTGTACTAAGCGCAAGGTCTACGTAGGTACAGCTGAATGATGATCAGAGCCTTATAGCTAAAGCCATAAACGAAAAGATTGCCGATTCTTTATTCGAATTAACTGCGCCGCGCCACCTACTTCCAGGAATGTCACTAAGATTCTCAGACATCTCATAATACGAGCAAGAATATAGCGTCCAGCGATTAATAAGCGTAGTGTCATGGAATCAATATAATGCAATATATAACGGTTATCTCATGTATAAAGTTTTTTTTTTTTTTTTTTTCACAGGCATCGACAGCAAGCGCAATACTCCGAGCCTTGGCGTGCTTGACAGCAACCCAATATGAAACCAGTCAACAAAACTTCCCTTATCTGAAGTCCGTTCGACTGTCCAAAATAAACATCAATCACAACTTTTTGTATCTTACTACTTCCATGCCTTTACAGCCTCCTCTGACCCTTCCGTGCTCCATCTATCTTTCCCCTTAATTCCAGACGCGACTGAACGTTCGAACGAATTCATTTTTATTTTTATTCTTTAGGTATCCACGACCCGCACACTAAACGTAACTTCGAAATTTGTGCCTATTTTAGGATGCTAAAAAAAGAAAAATAAACGATACGTAGCAGCAACGTTGGCCGTAACTAGCGTATGTACAGTCGTGTGGGATATGAAGGTGAACGCCGGGCCGTCGATTGCTCCGCGCTATCAGCGCCATGACGCGGCTGCGGTGGCAGCCACGTCATGGCGCTGATAGCGCGGAGCGGTGGACGGTCCGGCGTTCACCTTCATATCGCCGGCGGGTGTACTTCCAGTGCTAGCTGTGGCATTTATGTTTTAGGGGCTGCTGGCATTTAGGACATGTGGTGCTGATTGGAAGGAGATGGCAAGCGTAGCAAACACGGGGGACGAAGTGGGATAAATGCCCGAGATTGCATGACTTGTCCCTGTGAATAAGTGCGAGCGAGGCAAATTGGGGTTGGCCTTTCTTGAACTGATATGACAGCCTTAATGTCAGCATGTTAGGAATAGAAACGGACCAAAGGGCAACATTTACTACTGTATTATTAAAGTTTGGGGGATAATCACTTTATCACAAACACACACATTTGTCCTAGAGCCAAGGCCGGTAGCTCAGCTTTATTTTATTATTGATTCTGTTACAGATTCTGTGGGACCATACAGAGAACAAAATAAACTTTATTGCAGGCTGTTGATTACGCTTAACTTTATCGGTATGGTACAGCCCATATGAATAGAATGTTACGCGTGCATACTGCAGAGACGAATGCATTAGGCTTTTATAACTGCCGATGTTATACTTGTAAGTGCCGTCTTCAAATCATCCGTGTTTTTGGAAAGCAGTACTATAAAATATATCAACTTGTACCTTCTAGTTAGAATCATTTGAAATTCTGACTCCTAACTACTTGAAGTTTTGTTAATATTGTAAAACTTGACTGCTGAAGCGAGGACGTCTTTTCTTTTCGTCCGCTAGAAACGTTGAATTTCGAAAAGGCAGCTTCACATTTAAAATTTGTGCCACTCATGCATAATAATTCGAGTCTTTGTTAATACCCTTTGGTCCTTTCAAGAATTAACTTTGATGTGCACCAAAGAATTGTTTGAAAGAAAAACGGGCTTCAGCGGATGAATGAATCACATTTTTTATCCTATTGAAGCACGCAAGAAAAAACAAAAAAACAAAGATAAAAAAAAAACAGCCGCCAACTTAGTGCGCTTAGGCACACCGAGAGTGACGAGTAGTACGGCAGTATTTTCTTGTGGCATTTAAACAAACGGAAAACTGTTTGACAAGCTTGATTCATGACAAGTGACACATTCACACTTAGAGCCAGAAACATTCTCAGCAGGTTTGAGGGTTATCAGCGACCGGGTGTGCTTACGCTCCGTAGCTTGGAGCACGTGGAGCCAGAACTTGTTGTGCTGATCCCAGACATCAATGGTTCGATCCCCACCCCTGCCTCTTTTTGTTCTCTAAGGACATTGTACCGGCGTTCTGTCTTGTTTCCCTACTGCGTGGTGCACGTTGGACATTCCAATCTAGGAGTTGTACCTACTGCATCAGATACACCAGACGCCCATTGGGGTTCGCTAACTTCCCGATGTCTAAACACACGCACAAAACAATTTCTCTTAACCGCTTGAAGTGCGAGACATTATGAGATGCTGTCGATAGATACATTGAATAAACATCTACTTGTCCACGATCATTTCATACGACGACCAGCGCCAACTTCGATTCAATAAAATTATCGCATTTTTCGAACTGCGTCTCCCTGTATCATTACCAGAACTCGAAATGAGCGTCAAGGGATATGGGAGGGTAGGGCGACTTACCAACAGTGCCATCATCATAGGCCCGCTGATAATCCAGACAAACGGTGAGTGACCGTACCCTCGCCAGCAATGAGTTTTCATTCGAGACTCCATGACTAGGCTCCAGGCAAGCACGCACACTGCCGGAAGACCTGTGAAAAAAAGAAAGAAAAAAGAACGGTGCTGAGGTTGTCCCTTAGAGAGGAAAGCTTGATAGCGTCGCTGTATTCAAGCTAGATTAAGCTTAAATATCAAGCTATGGCTGTGATACGAAGTGTAGTTAATAATGTAGAAGATAATATATGTCTATGCCAGACAAGTTATTGGGCACATAGGCATCTTGTCAGAAAATAACGCATTTTATATTTCAAGTCATATTTTATCAACCTTTTCTTCAAGTAGTACATTAAGGGTACACGTAAACCCTTAAAATGCGCTTATCAAATATGCGTACAGAGAAATGTCGTTTAAAGCTTTGGCTACATGTATTAATAAAAAAAAAAAACTCCTCAAAAGTGCTCAAAGAGTCATTAAGTTGAAGTGTAGATTGCGGCACTTATGCTGACACTCCAAAATGTATGATTTTAAAATATGTCTTAAAACGATAATAAAGCAGTGAGCTATCTTATCATCTTCAGGCCACTTTGAGGTATGTTTCTGTCAGCTTATTTTTACCGCTGATTTTAGCGGGAAAAATGACGTCACATGACTTGACGTCCAGTGACCTATGCATAAACTCAGTTTTCCCGCTAGATCAAGGGGGAAATTGACGCCACGTGATCACAACACCAGTCCAGGTTTTCGATACATTAAGCGGGAAAAATTACGCCACCGCTTCGTATCACGTGACCTCTACACAAATTCAGTTTCCCCGCTAGATTTAATCGAAAAACATTACGTCATGTGATCTACGCATAAATTCAGTTTCTCCGCTTTATTTAGTGGAGAAAATGATGTAACAGGATGTCACTCACGGGACCTTGAACCGAAAGTCAGTTTCCCCGGTAAATATAGCAGAAAAAATTATGTTACGTGACATAATGTCACGTGACATATACATAACTTCAGTTTCCCCGCTAGACTTAGCTGAAACATTGACGTCACGTAACATCAACGCCAATTCAAATTCCCCGCTAGATTTAGCGGGAACATTGAGGTCACGTGACCTCAGCAGAAATTCAGTTTCCTCGCTAAATTTAGCAGAAAAATTGACGTCACGTGACATACACAAAGTCGGTTTCCCAGCTAAATTCAGCGAGGGAGACCGAAACACGTGACCTGATTTCACGTGACCTTTACACAAAAACAGTTTCCCCGCTGAATTTATCGATAAAATTGACTTCACGTGACTTCAATACCAATGAAGTTTGCCCGCTAAATCTAGCGAAGAAAAGGATGTCGCATGATGTCACGCTGGCATGATGTCATGCTGGCCATTATGCTATATGGTGCCTCGATCGCGTCTTTGACTGGTGTGTTTAGCGCCCTATCCCGCCCATACATTAAAAGTGGTCCCAATGTGGCAACAAATGACGCGCGTGTGATGCTGTTGCCTGTCGCGATCCTGGCGGTTGGCCGTACAAATGCTGGCAAAAAGAAGGAGCGAACGCGAGTGTCGCTGTCGTCACGTCGTCGCTTTAAGCGTCCCAACTTCCGGCTGCCCTAGCTTCCGTGAACTGTCACAATGGAAAGCGACCTGCAGCAGAACAGTCATCTGCCATCTTTACCACAACTGTTGGGACGCCGCCAGGGTCGCGACCGGCGACAACATGACACTTTTACGACGTCATCAGGCGGAAATCGAGGGACCACTTTTTTGGCCGCGGTAAACACACCAGTCGAAGACGCGTTCCAGGCACCATAGTTATGCCATCTTCTTACCCCATCCGATGAGGTAGTAGAGCTTGAAAGGTGCGTCCTGCTGGAAGACCGAGACGGCGATTCTGGAGTGAAGTAAGAGTCCCTCGACGAACATCCAGTTAATGGACGCCATCGCCGCGTACAGCTTCAGAGACAGCACGCTCTTGCACAGCCAGTCCTGAAAAAAGTACAAGATGAGTTGACACCTCAAAAAGAAAGATCCATTTGTCCGGGATAAAAGCGGATCTTCAAACCTTGCCCTCATACACCGAAGACTGAATGTCATGCTTCGTCGAAGAAAAAGTGAAATACGTAGGAGTTGTAAATAGTTTTTAAATAATATACCGAAGTTAAAGTTACACAAGCTTAGTCGGTAACAGTGAAGACATGAACACAAACAAATTTAAGAGCAGGCTTTCTGTTTGTTATTAAGATTATTAATCTTAATATATTACTCTTATTCATTCTTAATTTTATATTGACATCTGGTGCTTTTGAATTCTTGCTAACCGCAGCATAATAGATGGCCGGGGGAAGGGAGATGCAAGACACGCGTTGCACACGTTGGTTAGGAAGTGTCGTTATAACACTGAAAAGACAAGTCGCACAGGGCGTGTTTTTGAGGCGGTCAGCCTTCAGCATGATTACCTTCCGTCGTGCTTTGACATCGCGTACCTGCTTGAAGATTACGAGAGGTCGTTGTTTTATCGAACGTTAAAAGCTCCTGTTGGAGGCGGGACAACATAGAAAACATAATACATGGCGTTCTTATCTTGTCAGTGACCATAAATGGCGTTACGCTGTGCTCGTTCGGGAAGTACACGTTATATGTAAATGCCCATATTCGAAACACAACAGCAAGTGCGTTATAGTTTTAAAACAAAATTGCTTGAAATTGAGGGCAGTAGACATCTGGTACAGAGTTAGAACAAAACCACATTTACTTCAAAATATATGCACATTGTTAACATAAGTAAGTACGTTTTAGTGGTATTCGCTTGATTACCTATTATAATGACTTAATTAAAGTTTATTAGCCTCATTGATTGAACGCTCAATAAACAACAAGTGCCAATTTCTGAAATGCGTCCGTTTAATTTGCCCCTTCGAATAAACAATTTATTTAGGTCTTGCACCAAAGAAACATCTCGGAGGGATCGTTTTTGAACGTATACTAATTTAATTACGCTTTCGTATAAAGTTTAGACCCAGGTTTGCAGTTTAATGCAGTTTCTGCCTTGTTCACGGAACACGGAATTCGTGTTCAACGGTTTCATTTGCCTGCAATGCCTTATGGTTAAGAAGACATCTGGTCATACGGAACATGCAATAAGCGAGGGACTACATGGATCGTTCTGCAAGGCAAATTACTCAGTCTGCATTTTTGATTTCCAGCGGTATGCGAATGTTCATTTAATCAATGGGCTGGATACGTATTTCGTTGTCTTTGAAGTTATCAGCCATCAGATTACGCATGACTAAACTCTTCCATGGGATCGAATTGTTAACGTGCTTTTGGAACGCCTGTACGAGTAATTGAATCCCAACTTTTTTGGGTCACCAAGGCCTCGGCGCATGCACTAAAATGAGAATTTCAACTGAACAATAAGCAACATTGGAATGCTCCCCGGGAATATTTTAAATGAAAGTAATAGTATATCAGTTAGCAGTAATTAAACCTTTGGACTCGTATTACTTTTATTCCACGGCTCTACAGATTTTTTATATTCAATTCTGTGGGTTACATTCACAAAGTTATCATCGTCCGCTTTTTTGAGAAAAGATCGCATTGTTAACAAAAAGTACAGTTGCCTGGGTTTGATAAATCGCGACTCAATTAAAAGCTTTATATTTCATTGGAAATAATATTTTTTTATTCAGATAGTTGACTATGTGTGTCCCATTCTTCTCTCGTTAAAGTCAAATTTTGATAATATACCGAGTATTTCTTTTTTCCTTCTTAATATTGCATTTTATTTTCAATCTAAAAACGTAGGAACATAAAATTTTGTTTTATTTTTTACTCTAAATAATGCGCCGGACACGATTTATAATGGAACGCGACATAAAATACGCCAGTATGTTGTACAGTAATTATGTTATTTTATTTTGGGGGCTTCGGTTTTGATATTTTGAAGTTGCAGTCCCACAATGACGTCACAGACAAGCCAGTGCCAAAATGGCATAGTACTCGTATGCAATTTTTTAGGCCCACTTGCTCGCCGCCATAGTTGCGCTTTTTGGTCTGTGCGTCCCGGAAGAACAACGTTCCCGCAATTAATAGGTAAAACCATTTCAATATTTAATCGGGCTCTGGAAAGGGGGGGGGGGGGGGGGGGGGAGGCAGGGATTCTGGCAAGGTTCTAAATGTAGCTTTCTGATTTAGTCCCGTTGCATCATGGAAATAAAATAAAGTATTATCACTAATGTCTTTCTGGTGCCTCGCGCATTATTTAATCAGATTGCAGGCACGGCATATACTTTAGATGGGTGTCTCCTCAGAATTTATGGTTCTCTTAAAGAATTGATATGTTAAATGCCATCTTGTGAAAGAAATAGTTTTAGCATACTAATTTGCTGTTTCAAATAGCATTTTTTTATTAGTTTCTTGTACGCTATCAGAAACAGGAACTCTATGGATCTGCGATTGAGATCTTATGTCGCCAAGCGACAGTAAGGGTACTATGATAGATTGGCATTGATGATGTGGTGCCGGAAAACAGTGGGGCTACTCCTTCGCTAGAAAGTATTTCAAGGATATGACGAAACCTAACGCCCGTTTTCAGTGAAACCCGGGGCTTGCCTTGTAGGTGCGAGGATGACATTTCACATTCTTACTTGATATTCAGTGTCACAGCTGGAACGTCATTTTCCGGACCAGAACGTTTCTCAACTTCGCGCTTCAACGTTACTATTTTTTTTTAGATATTTTATAAATTGGATGCCTACTTTCTCCAACAAAAATAGCACGCGCCAACATTACCTTAGAGTGGAATTGCGCAAACATGGCCCAGGCTGAATTGCGGCCATGCTCGTAAACCCGCCCCCCCCCCCCCCCCCCCCACCCTCCCCTCAATCACTCATGATTCCATCCTCGTTTACGTCAAAAGTTTCTCTTTCCCGACTCTTGATTCATCTATACTTAATCGCGATCAGTCGCCCTAGGCAAGTGCGATAACCGCTCGTAGGCGCGCAACTACCTCGACAAACGACAACTCGCTTCTGCCAGCCAAGAAAGCGTTACAAAAACGACAGTGTACGTCCCCGAAACACAGACCCGGCGCGCATGTGTAAGACATAAAAAGCGTGAGGACGATCGCACACGACACACTTCACTTTCGGAATGCGCGGCTAGACTAGATCCGCACCCTGTCACCGCATCAAAGCGTGCGCACGGAGGCTCAGACTGCATCTTTAATGGCTGCTGGAGGAGCAGCGGGTTTGTTTGCCCCGACCGAGATCCCCTTTTCCCCCATGGGTGTCGTCACTATACACCGTTCACTGCTAAACTGAAAGCGTCGTGGAGGCTACGTGCTTGGTTGACCTGTTATACGTCTATCTTTAGTCACGTGATCACGCTCCCTCTCCGTGCCACCGCTCGGCGAGAGTGGGGTCAGGGGATGAAAGGAAGGCAGTTAAATGATGCGGCGAGCTTGTGGCTCTTTCCGGACTCTCAGCTTAGGAGGGAACGTAGTGCGGCATCGCAGACCGCGAAGCGGCCATTCACCGGCTGCGTCGGGACGGTGGTGGTGACATCCCCGAGCGCCTCTGTGCATGTGTAATGGCTGCGGTGAGAGAACGCGTCTGATTCTCCAGCGTGTTTGAAAGGTTGGACGCCAGAGGGGAAGCGACTGGTTGCTCGATTTAGGGCGTTATGCGGGTAACCGTGTTTGATACGTCTCGTTCAACGTGATGCGTTTGTCTAGACTGGAAAGAAAGTTTAAGCCTAGTTCTTTCGTTTCCGCTACATATCTGTCGCATGAAGTAAGACTCAAGGGGATGAGACTTCGACAGCGTGTAAAGCGAAATCTCGCCATATTGACTTAAACATCGCAACGGTTTTGTATCAGAAGGCATGTGTCCCATGCACATGCGTGCATGGGAGACATGAATTAAATCGATGCACATGTGTCCCATGTGCATCGGTGTAATCACATCTGCGTGATGCAGGTGCAGGACCCCAACCCAGAAGTCGACTACAAAGACGCAATTATTCATCGTGGACAAACCTCAGATAGTTTAAGCGATCTAAATATCCAGTCCATAAGTTGAATTACGACGAAGAATGTGCAATGCGCATGCGCAATAGAACAACTAGTCTTCTTTGTAGTGGACCTAACTACTTACGCCTTACGTTTTCGGCGACCTGTTCTTAGTTATTAGTGGGACACAATCATGTTTGCCCCAAGCGCTCTAGAAATGTAGTGAAACTTTGATTTTGTAAAGGTCGAAACTGTCGCAAGCTACACCGTCTCAGAATGGCATCCAACGCCTCCCCTACATAATCAGCATTTAGCAGGAGGACTGCATATGCAAGAGGACGGCCTCTAGCGCACACTGCGTAACACTAATACCGCAAAAAGAGCGATCGCCATTTTACTGTATTATTTTCTTAAAATCAAAAGGCTACCACCCAAACTGCTAGCACGCATGGCGAACAGTCATAATATGGAGCACTAATCTAAGTGACATACTGTGAAGTAATTTAATGACATAAAGAAAAGAGCACAAAACGCAAATAACATGTCAGTGCTAGCAATGTCACGCAGGGTAAATCGCGCGTATATAATTACACAGACAGGCGCTGAGGCCTACCTATAATGAAATCGGCGGGAACGGAATTCAGATTTATGATATCAAGGTATACAATCGAATTACAACTTGTAGACAATCTCAGCAACTTGGTTTAGATATTTATTGTCCAGCTGTTTCAGACCCTCTGCAGGGAGCTCCCTTTGATAGCGTTTTCTGAGCTGCAGTTGCGTATGCTGCTGCAGCTCTTTTGACTTCTTGCTGTCAATCGGGTAATTTACAGTTTGGCACACTGGAGAACCATTATACATCCCAAAAGTTGGAACAGTTAAATGCTAGATGTTCGGCATGGCCGTAATAAATGTAGTTTTAAGCTGGCACCCCCCCCCCCCCCCCCCCCCCCCCATTGTCAATTGTTTCGTCATT